AGCTACAACACTTACTACTGTAATAACATATTTTAGCTGCATACAACCACTGACACAACAGATAATGAACAGTATGTTAAATTGACATTAAATTGATTTTATGAACTATACATGAATACTAACCTCCTCTGTATGTTCCCAATCTCAGTTCTAGGTATATAGTCAGTTGGTCCATGAATCATCCACCTATCACCAGGAGTACGATGGACTTTACTACCTAATACAGTAACAATATTGCATTGTAAACAACTAATTATGTTTCTCTCTCTCTCTCTCTACTATTTGCTCATGCAGGAATTCAGTTAACCACATACAATAATTTCCAACAATAATGAGGGCAGCAATCTGTTCCCCGCTACCATTGTCACAGAATCAATAAATCTCTCTCCAAAAAATAGCCATATACATATCTATCACAAGTTACTATTACTAACCATCTTCAGTAACATCATCAAACTCTTCTTGGGCAGTGACAAGAAGAGCTTCATCAGATTCTAATATAATAGCATCTTGTATCCCTCTCTCAAACTTCTCACCTACACAAAGGAAAAAAGAGAAAGAACACACATACATGACATGGGCAAAAAGCACACACACAAAACAAACAAAATACACATACACACTCAGACATTTGTACATTATTTAAACAAAGGGTATGCAACATAACATATCAAATACATGTACCTTTCCACATTAACCATGTATGTACGTGTACATGACGATTGCAAAATCATCATAATAAAATCAATACTTAATTAATATTAATCAGTTACCAGGGTGAAGGAAGAATGTCTTGGGTCCTTTCCTCAGTTCCCTACAGCCAAGACGTGGTCTACCATCATCACCAAGAGGATTAACAACCACACAATACTGATGGTGAGATAAAACAGTCAACTGGACCTCATTAACAACCTCCTGTAGGATATAATAAAAAATACTAAGTGTTATATTTTGATTGTGTTAAGCAACCAAATCTAATCAGATTACAGCACACAAGAATTACTATGATTGTAAATTGAATCCATTAAATGCCACCTCACCAGACTGACCATCAGCTGAGAGTTAAGTCTTGTGCAAACCTGTTATCCTTTACTGTGTGGGTGTGTGTGTATAAGCATTGATTATAGTTTGGCTGATGTATGGATTCTGTGCATGAATTCTTTCTATCTCAACAACAGTTATGCCCCTAATGAGCTTTCTTCCCATGCATGTAATAGAATTAAGGTTTGATATATCTTTGCATGATGGTTACATGGACACTGTACCTCAGTGACATCAGGTATATATGATTCAGTGTCATCATATTTAACCAGCCACTCCTCTCCAATCCTTCTTCCCCTACCAAACTGATCAGTGAAGTTACAGTTGGCTCTGATGTGTAAAGCATTGTTTGGTGTTAGAGTGTAAGCATCAACCTCTTCTACTACCTAATAAGAGGGAGAGAGAAAATCATAAAATAATAAGCCACAGGTGAGGAGTCTGTATAAGCTTAATCAGGGTGTGATACTAGTAGGGTTCAAAGGCAGTAGGTAGTCTTGGTACATGCACATAAAATAGGAAGTGTATAAGCTTAATCAGGGTGTGTATGATACTAGTAATGTGTAAAAGCATAGATAGTAGGTGCATAAGCTAGCTAAGGATGTGCAAGTGTTCCACAAATAAGTAATTTGATACACATTATCACTTATAGCAAATACACATTGTACTATTCATATCTTTCCTGTGAATGACGCTTCAATGGAGCTCAATACACTTTTTGCCATTTTTGTAAGAGCAAGCAGTTATAGCTTCAAAAGTAAAAAATTGCACCCTTTATCATTCTTTTCCCAGAGTCTGCAACTGTTAGGAACCACTGGGGTGACGTGGAGAAGTAGAATTGACAGTTTTTAGCCTGTTGGTCCATTGTAGCAAGTGATAGTATACCTCCACAATGGCAGACTGAAAAGTTTTTCATTTACAGTATCCCAATGA